CATATCATGCACGTAGAACTTTCACACAAAAGCAATTCACGAACAAAGGTAACTGAAAAAGTGATTTGATGGTGGACAAAAGTAGTATTAGTATAAAAGTCGATACCGTACCTACATCGTATCCAACACGAGAATTCGGACAAGTGCGCGGCAGGAGCCACCGTAACAGAATCGGGGGCCGCAATTGTGTCGACAGCGGCGGAGATTTGTTGTGCGGAATTGTGAATAAGATTGCCTGAGAGACCGACATGAGTTTGTATGCCGACATTCGAGGAATTGGGTGTCGCAGTGGATGTTTATCCATGGTCGGATCGGCGACGCAGAAAAGAAAACCAACGGAAAGAAACGAACAATTGTGGGTGATTTGAGAACTTCGGTGGTTGTTGGCGAGGAGTCGTCGACTGATCCGTCAATGTTCGAATTGTCGCCATTCACGCAGCGTTGTTGCATGCAACGCTGACTGGTGTTTACGGTTTTAGGGTTTTAACAAAGTGTCGGAGGCGTGAGAGTGGGTTGAGAGGGTGGATCGTGACGATGGCGTCGGTGGCGGAGTTGTCATCGGAATTGGTTCTGAGTGTGTCGAGGAGGAGCCTCTGCGATGAGTTGCAGGGCAACGCGAGCACCTCTTTCAGAATTTCTTCCAGGGGAGTTGGTGTTCGAAAGCAGGTGTGGAGGGAGGATGCGAGCTGCAACCGGGGAGCGTCTTAGATGTGGCATTGCTGCAGGGATGTCCGGGTGTGTAAGCACTTTGAGGGTTAGTGACGATGTTCACCAGAGCCAGAGAGTTTGGTGGAGAACGGCACCCGTGAGCTGGGATTGTGCAGCAGATAGGGGTGAGAACGTGCGAGTGGCACCTGTGAACACATTTGTCGAGGAGCAGGTTTCGCTGTTTTTGCTGGAGGAGATGTTTGAGAAAGATTGCGTTCGACTCGAGAAGGGAAGGCAGCGCAGCATAGCATCTAAACCCATAGCAGCGAGTGATGAGCCGAAGGAGATTATCAAGAAGGAGAGAAACATGAAGGGGAAATCAGGGGCGGCGGGAGTTTAGTCCGGTGTGAGGCTTGAGAATATTAGTAATAGTTTCAAAGGTGTATCTGTCTTGAACGATGTGTCGTGGGAGGTGAAGAGGGGAGAGAGTGTGGGGCTTGCGGGTATCTATGGATCAGGGAGGACAACCCAGCTGACAGTCATTGAGGGCAAAGAGGAGGCGGATACTGGGAATGTGTATAAAGCGAGGGCGAACATGAGAATTGCGTTTCTAAGCCAGGAGTTTGAAGTGGTTGGCTCTCGAATTTTGCGTGAGGAGTTTGAGAGTATTTCTTCTAATGAGATATAGCCAAAATTGAGACAGTGCAGATTGGTTTTGACTACCTTAAATGCACTGTCAATGTCCTGCCCCACCGTCACTGTGAAATTTCTGTGGTTGAGCAAGATAAAATGTCCAACCTCGACTTTGGTTTCACGTTCTGAAATGTGTTCTCGTAATCCCCTTCTGGAAAAAGGTTTTGTTGTAGGATATATGAAGTGATCCGGTCTTTTTAAGCGTTCTACGTTGCATTGCGTGTAACCAGGTTGTGTCGGACAACTGCTTTTTAGGTGGGACTTTCTGAATAATCTCCTGATGTGATGTACTGTTCTTGTGGCCGAACTCAATCTCTTTGACTAGGCGCAACTTGAGTATGCAGCTGATGACTGGATTTCATGGCAAAGCTGCTGGATGAATTAGACACTTTACAGCAGCAGGCTGAAGCGTCTGATCTTTACAATATCGACGGGAATATCAACAAGACTGCGGACTGGCTGGTGGCGTCGTTTAGTGGAGGCTGGCAAATGCGCATTGCACCGGGGAAAATTTTGCTTCAGCTTGGGCGCTAGTCCTGTCATTTATTGTGAAATGCAGTGGTTAATCTCGTTGCTGTGAGGGCCGTGGTTGACAAGTCCTTTAAGTCTTTACGTTCATTTCTCTCGATTTACTCGAATAAACCACCATATTGGTCGGTTTGCAACAGGAACCTGATTTACTGCTGCTGGACGAGCCCACGAAACCACTCGGACTTGGAAAGCATCGAGTGGCTTGAGAGGTATTTGAAGGACCAAGATGTGCCCATGGTGATTGTGTCCCATGATCGGGCTCTCCTCGACCAGTTGTGCACTAAGATTGTAGAGACAGATATGGGAGTTGCACAGACTTTCCCAGGAAACTACAGCGAGTTCGTGCCTGCTAAGGCAGCGTGGGTCGAAATGCAACATATGTCATGGGAGAAGCAGCAGAAAGAAATTGCACGCTCAGAGGAAATAATTCAGCGGCTCAGCAGTGGCGCTAATTCTGGTCGTGCAACATCTGCTGCAAAGGTGTGAAATCAATACTTTGCAGCTTTTCTTCTGAGCTATTCATAATCACAAGCTTCAGTGAATTCAAGAGAGGGAACTAAGATTAGGTTTAAGATACTGGTTGTCTGATGTTGCAATCACTTTGGATTCTAGCAATTGAAAATAATGCAAGATGAGGGGCAGAAAGTTGAGAAGCCATTTCAACGAAAGCCGGTGATGTTCCGTTTTCCGGAACTGAAGTGCAGTGGGAAGAAGGTTGTAGAGATTAAAAAATTGGGTTATCATCATGATGTCAAGGTAACTAACCTCTGTCGATCCAATGTGTTGGTGAAAATGGGGTAGTTTCCACTAGATTGCATTACAACCTAAAATATGCGTATTCTTAATATTCTTTTGAAGATTCATATCTTGTGTGGGCACTAGTGTTGTATCTTTTCTGGAGCATTTGACAATTGCAGCTGCTACCCTGTTTTTTCTAGAGGTGCTGTTTGAGAATGCAGAGCTTCTAGTAGAGCGTGGTGAAAAGCTAGGAGTAGTTGGTCCAAATGGATGTAGCAAGAGCACACTTCTAAGGATGCTGATGGGGACACATAAAGCCATGTCAGGGTGAGCATTTGCTCAGTTCAAGGGTTTTTTTTTTTTTTTTTTTTTTTTTTTTTTCTGTTTTGGCTCACCGGCATTGGTATTCTCATGCTCAATTCGTCCTATGACATTAAGTGGTAGATTTGGTTTGTCAGGCTGAGGCTTTGAATCAAGAGAAAACAGTTCTTCAGACTGTTGAAGAGGCTGTGGATGATTGGAGGTTGAATGACATCAAGGCTCTTCTGGGGCAGTGCAACTTTAAAGCTGAAATGTTTGACCATAAGGTTCTCTTCCTGAGTGGGGGAGAAAAGGTACAGATGCAACGCATGATACGATTGTGTTGATCGTATTTAGATTGTAAAACATTTTACTGAATACCTTTGGATTTGTGTTCTAATTTAGTATGAATGGTGTTGGGCACGGTTATTACTCTGTAAGTTTATGGTTACACCTTCAACTCTGCTAGTGCTGGATGAACCTACTAATCATCTGGATATTGCTTCAAAAGAAGTGTTGAGGTAAGGTTTCTACAGTTCATGTTACTTTATTTGTCTTTGTTCTCCCATCTCAGTGCAACTCCGCAACATTAAATGAATTCTGGTTTCTTTGATTTGCAGGCAATGCATGGTTTTCGGTGTTGATTTATGTCAATGAGCTTGCACCTTGCAGGAAGCTTTGAGGGAGTACAAGGGTACAGTGATCATTGCTTCCCACGATCTGTACTTCCTCCGGCAAATCATGAATCGTGTGGTTGAAGCGGCTGATTATCGTCTCAGAGACTACAGCGGTGACTGCAATGTATGTCCAATTCTCTCCCCGCAATTCTTGTTTCATATGTTTCTTAATTTGGTTTCGATTTGCCTTGTTTCTTTGCACTTCTCTGATACTACTGATCGTACTTCATCTTAGCTTAAGAAATTATTTTTCTCGGTATTCAGTACTTCTTCGTCTTGGTTCTAAACCTTAGAGGATTTTATTTAGGCAGATATGTAAGTGGATGATAGTTACTTCAATATTTTACGCGTTCCTGACATGGAGTGTTCTTTTGTTCAACGCTCTGCAGTACTACTTGGAGCATAACTTAGAAGCTCGACAGATAGAACTAGAGTGAGCGGAGGAGCTCGGCCTGAATGGTCCTGCTGTGAAATCCAAGTCGAAGATGTCTAAGGCCGAGAAGGAGTTACAGAAAAAGCAAAAGGCTAAAGCTTTCTCTCAGAGCAAAAATAATGGAAAGGTGACCAAGAATGCTAAGCGGTGGAATTGACGATCTAGTTTTAATTGATTACTTCAGTCGGATGGACGAAAACAACAGTTTATGTCAGGAGAGAAAAAAACTGGATGACGACTTTGCTGTAAGCCATTTGATTATGCACAACATTTTTGTTAGCAACATCCTACTTAGATGCAGAGCTAGTCGAAATCTCTCGGAAGTAAATTCCAATACTAGATGTCTTTTGAGGACATAAATTGCTGGTCATGGATAGTGTATTTACCACTGAAACCGCCAGAAATTCCCAACTTGTAAATCTGTAATTCTCTAGTGTACATACGCATGTAGTTTTCGCGCTCTTGATGTATGCAAGGGTAATTAATACCACCTGGAACTGACCTGGTTGGATAGGCAGTATGTGTGATTTTTGTGCTTCTATGTGCTGTTCATGTTATTCCTAGTTTAGTACGTGCTCTCATGCACACCTATCCTGGCATGGGGACTTAAGTTCCTATCACTCATGATTTGAGTTAGGATTTGCTAGTATCCAAGCGGCCATGGACACAGAGCTCTTCTCTCGGCGTATGAAACCATGTTTAGCTGATTCTACACATAGCAGCCATCTTCATCGCATGAATACGAAGAGAACCCAATGAGCTGCAGAATTTGCATTCACAACATAGCTAGGGTATGTTTCGCAATTTCATATTTTCACGACGTCTCAGGATTCTGTTTCTCATCCAGCGGTGGTGAGTGCCAACCCATACACCGTGCACCAGCTGGCACCCCGGTTCCTGTTGCTGTGGTTGAACCGAAATGCTTTGAAAGCATGACGTCCTCAAGCATGGCAGGTCAGAAGCTGCCGGTGTAAGGACAAAAAAGACGAGGCAAGGAAACTCGCATCTCAACTTCTGAAAACTGGGTGCAGGATTCTGCCAGAATTTGCGGGTATTCAAGGTTCAGTCTGTGTTCTGTCCACAAACTATGGTATCTTGTCCAGCAGTAATATCACAAGTTCAGAGAAAGTATGCGGAATATGGGGAGACAACAGTGCAACAGATGCCACCTGAGGTTCTTTATTGTGCACTGGTCTGTAGGCTTCAAGGAATGTCGGATGTTTATTTACTTGTGTAATTGATTTAAATGTTTTTTTGGTGTGGTGGTGTGGTGTGATCGCAACCTGGAATCGGCAAAGGCAGAGATTGCTTGGGCTATTCGTTGGGTTTAGATGGAGGTAGAGAGAAGCACGTTACAAGGGTGCGTACTTGTGGTTGTTGGCAGTGGTCTCTGGTTAACAGTATTAGGTCGTCGTCCAATCAAAGAGTGGTTGCTTCAAAGTGTTAGGATCGGGTATAATTTCAGAATTTCTGGACGTGCGAATTTGGATCGCGGAGGTCGTGGCTGATGACAGTATGTCTAATTTTGAGCAGTCGGTGTTGATGGTTTCTGTCTTGTGTGTAAGCTCATTTTGTCTCGAGCGAAGCTTTTATAGCGGTGGTCTGTAAATGAGGTTGTTCAGGGACAGACACCTTGAGATGCGGAGCTGGGAAGCACTCATGGTAAGACGAACTGTTCTTCAGCAGATGGTCAAGGAAATTTCTTCAGAAGCGAGGTTGTTGAGTTTTTAGTACTGCAGTGCAGCAGTCTTTCACAAAATCGAAGTGTTCATTAGAGCAAAATTTTCTGTATGAGGAAATGACAGTGGAAAATAGGGATTCAAATGCGTCCAAAGATGCTACTTCTATGGACAATCCGTGGGATCAAGGAGAGTTGAGCCGAACCTGCGGAGATGAAATTAGAGAATCGAGAGGTGAGATGAAGAATGGTAAGAAATCGAGGCTGGAAAGTAATGGAGGAGTGCGTAACTCCAAAGACGAGGTAGAGATTGAGAGTGCGCCGGTCACGATCAGGGATTTGCTAAGTGATAGTCAAATTAAGAGGCCGGAGCCCAAAAGTGGTGGTGATTTGGAGCCGGACACTTATAAACAAGAGAGCTTCCGGTCGTGGTCCTTCAGAAGTTTGTTGGGTAGTTATAGACGTAACAATGAAAGCCATGATGTGTCGAATTCCAGCGTCCCGAACCCAAACATGCCTAAGTCTAGTCCGTCACCAAGCAGGAATTCTACGAATGGGAAAGTGGAGAGTAATTCTAGCCCGTTACAGCACGGATCACCGCTGTCACAGGGGTCACCGCTGAGGCAAGGATCGCCGATTGTGATGAAACTACTGACTCCAACGATGTCTTTCGCCCGAATTAAAGATGAGAAGGAGGAGAAGTCGAGAATGATACCTTCAACTGAGGGACTGGAGTTGAAGGATGGCATCAAGCTTCCCCTGATAGGAGAAGTAAGGTGGGAGGATCTAAAGCAGCAAGCAATTATGTGGCTGAAAAATCCAAAGAACTTGGTGTTGCTGCTTTGGATAATTGCGGTAGCTGTCTCAGGAGCTATCTTGTTCATGGTCATGGTTGGAATGTTGAATGCAGTTCTCAAGAAGAAGAGTGATCGTGATCTTTGGTTTGAGATTTCAAATCAGATTCTGAATGCGCTTTTTACCCTCATGGCACTCTACAACCATCCCATAAGGATCCTTCACTTGGTCTACTTGATTCGTTACAACCCTACAGACATTATCAAGCTCCGGCGAAGTTACTGCAAGGATGGGCTTCGGAAACCACATGAATGGGCTCACATTTTAGTGGTGGTGCTCCTTCTGCATTTGAATTGTATTGCGCAGTATTGTCTCTGTGGTCTCAACTGGGGCTACCGGAGATCAGATCGTCCTGCATTTGGTGTGGCCATCACCCTTCTGGTCTCATTTGGGGCAGCTGCTGCTGCTGGGATTTACACCTCATTGAGTCCTTTGAGAAGAGATTATTTTGCAGTAGGTGATGGTGATGATGATGGGGCTATGCGCGAGAAGGATGATCTTCTTGTGGACAAAATGGAGAGGGCCGAGTCTGGAGGGCACTCGTCTTCAAACCACCCATCTTTGTTCAAGCTGCACAATCCCAAGTACAAGCTATTAGAGAAAAGCAAGTCTTTCAGATGTCGAGAAGGAAGACCTGTGCCAAATCCGCAATGGGAAGGTGGCGTGTTTAGCTTTTACGATGAGCCCACCATTAGCATCCTAACCATAATTTGCTTCCCTTGTGTAATGGGATTTAATTATGAGAGGCTCGGATTCGGTAACCGCTATGTGCATATTGCAACTTTCCTCCTCCTGCTGGGTGCGCCGTACATGGTCTTTAATCTGGCAGCAATCAACATCAACAACGAGTATGTTTTCTGAACTGTGCACTACTTTGCATGAATCCCATATAATTGCTGTTGCTGCTTGTGGGGCGTAAGTCTCACGAAGAATGGGCTCTTTCAGAATTTGACGGGGAAAGACGAACCACCTTCAGAAAGTTGGACTGACGGGACACTCCTATTGTCTGCATGAAAGCTGAAAGTAAATTATGTCAGAACAGATGAGTTTGATCCACTTACTGCCGGATTTTTGTTTTCGAACAGAAACTGAAACATGGGGTTTTACCAAAAAAAAAAAAAAAAAAAAAAAAAAAAAAAGAAATTCATTGCACTGGATAGTTTTGAGCAATTTGTCAATTTGAAACCTTCGAATCTTTGCAATCTGTTGAGTTGCAATCATGAGCACGGTTTAGTCTTAATCTTACGTGCTAATGGTATGTGCTAACACATGTTCTGCTGGCCCCTGTAGACCCGTGAGAACATCCTTGGGAGTAGGTGGAGCTGTGCTGTGTGTCTTCAGTTTACTCTATGGGGGCTTTTGGCGGATCAAGATTCGAGAGAGATACAACTTGCCTGCACATGCATGGTGTTGCAACAAACCCAACATGAGTGACTGTTTCATATGGCTTTTTTGCTCCTTATGCTCTCTATGTCAGGAGGTCCGCACAGCAGAGGCTTATGATGTTCGGAACGACACATTCTTCTCCAGATCTCTAGTCAAGCCAAATACCTCACGAAACCCACCTGATTCTGGAATAACAAGCAGCGCGGTGCCAGGTCCAGCTCCCTTTCTTCACCCTCCTTCGAGCTCCGTAATGGTGGCACCCCAAGTGCAAGACTCATTCCTACGTGAGCAAATTGGGACACAATTGCGAGACATGCCTGATAGTTCTTCTACATTCTCCCCTTCACCTGGCTACAAGGTGAATTGCATCCCAGATGCTGAAGTAAAAGGCATGTCTCCTCAAGGTCGATGACAGAAGCTGTGAAGGCACCTCTGCAAACGCATGCAACAAGGACAATAAGAATGGAGAGTCTCAGGGAGTTGTGTGTGAATTTCATTCGTTAAAACAGACATAAACCAATGGGTATGTTTCATACTAAATTCACATGAAATGTAATGAAACGTAATGAAATGAAGCATTCATTAGTGTATTCAACTATTCCTGATTTGGCGTTTGAGTGGTTCTATATTCAAACATATATCTTGGTTTTTTCTTTTCTTCTCTTCTAACATTGTTGATAAGATTTACAACCTGAGTTATGTTTGGTGTCTGACAAAATCGGAAAACTTGTGCTGGTGTATTGATACTTTTTACAACTTAACAAAATTTATGTTTTGTGTTGCTTTTGTTATATATATATATATATATATATATATGTGTGTGTGTGTGTGTGTGTGTGTTGCATATAGTAATCATAATAAATAATATGTTCTAGTCAATATTTACTTGATTTTATCGGTAAGATGTAGGTATTGATGAAAAATTTGATAACCAATTCAACTTCATATCACTGTTGATTTTTTAAACTTTGGATAATTGTATGTCAAAATAATAGTGCATTTGCGGAATAAAGAAAAATTGAGCTTGGTTGCCTTCTCAAGATCCATGAACAAATATGACATAATTATTTTTTAAATATTTTTTGATTGAGAAACAACAAGTTTTTTTCTCCTAAAAGCTATTTAACTAAGACATCTTAGAAGCTTTGTTCTTCATTTATTTTTTATTTTTTGTTTGTTTGTTTTTTGAGTTCACTAGATCTCTGAAACATATCAAATTATTTTAAAAGCTTGCATCTAATATTGATCCTCCTAATGTTTTTGGAGTCTCACCTAAGATGTATAATAATTTTTTGATAAATCCAATCATCTTCTTGCTTGGAAATATATATATGTTTTGTTTATTCTATTAACCTCATTGTATGAGATTGCATGAAAATTCATATAGAAGGTAAGGATTTGCTTACTTCAAGGACCACTCTCTTTTTTTTCTTTTTCTTTTTATATATTTCATACAAAAAAATTGAAATTTTGATCTTTTATCACTTATATCAAATTTTATCTGACAACTTGAAATAACAATTATAAAATCTATTCATACTCAACATTAATCAAGTAGAAGATAACCCTCAAATAAATAGTTTTATATCTAAATCTAATCCCCATATCTTTTATATTATTTTTCAAATTTTCTAATTTATTACTTAGAAGTTGTTGATAAGGTCAAAAAATAATTCAATTAATCAACACAAACTTTTATAGAATGGTTAAAGACAATAGATGCTAATAAAATTCTACAAAAATTCTAGAATCCTTAATATTCGATTTCTACACTAACAATATAGAAAATATTAACCATATACTTGTAAGTTTTTCTTAAATAACTAAGTTTGTATGAAGTAAATTAGATAATTTAATGGAATTTTCATTAAGCATGTAAGAATACTAATACAACTATCATTTCTATATAGGGAACTAAACAAAATAATAGTTTTGATTTCCATATTATTATTGCTCTCTCTGTAATATTAACACCTTTTCTTTTATCATCTCCATATTTAGTTCTAATTTACTAGGCCCAGATTTTGAAGGCCCAATTTGTAAGTAATTTGTTCAGTTTATAGCATTTTATTGTTTTAACCTTTTATGATGATGTATATAATATACATTATTGCACGTTTAATTTTTACTAATACTTGAGCTACTTTTGGTGGATGATTAATTCTGGAACGATTCTTTGAAAAAGATTAGTTGTAAATTTATTTAATAAAAAACAAAACTAGTGGTAGCAACAAATTATGACATCCTCAATGTCATATAGTGAGGAACCACCAATGACAATAAGTTATCACAAACGTCCAAATTTGTTTTTGTTATAGCAAAAGGATGAACACAAATGGACAATATCGAAAGAGTTATTTCTCCATACCACCCTTAAATTTAAGCTCTTTTGATGAGCCCTTAGAATCCTGCACAGTCTGAAAGCTGTAAAGCGCTGGAGAGTCTAGAAGAGAGACTTCACAACATTTAAAGATCTACCAATTTCTACCTAAGCAATGTATTTATTTTCTGATCAATGGGAATGTTTATCCCTACATTTCAAAAGAACTTTTTCCAAAACATGAAAACCATGTAATTCAGTCCTTCTGTCAAGTCAATATTGAATTGAATTGGGTACCCGATGCAGAGATTTGCGGACAATCCCCCAGCCTCCCAGTCTTTCTTCATCTAGCATTGAAAGCCCTAATACCATTTAATCTTTCGTCATAGATATGCGCATTATCTGTTAGCCTGCTAAATAAACAAAAATACATTCAAATTAGTGAGAACTTACAAATGTTGTAAAACTGCAAAACTAGTACACTTTGGATTGTTAAATTTTATATCAACGAATGCATCAAATACGACATTCCTGGGATTTCGATTTAAACATTCATCTAGAGTAATCTACAAAAGGCAAACAATCAGAATGAAATTCTAATGACTGATCTAATAATAATCAGCCAAGATATGCAGCAACGGCTGATTACCAATGCTTGAATGTATGTGTAGGGGCAAGCTAGCTATTTTTTCGGCTAAAATGGGTAAGGAGAAAACCAAACATGGTAATTCTGGAGGAAATAGAGCAAGGACAGTGAAATTGTATACCTTGCACAATTTATGCAGCTGAGGGCTCGTTTGCTATGAATCTTAGAATTCGCAATCCGATTTATACATATCTACTTCGATGACTTAGAGCTTCTTGATCCCACAGAAGTTGAAGTGGAGCCTTTCCGCATCTTCCGTAGCTCTTCATCAATATATTCTGAAAAATGAGGAACGGCTGTTTTCATTTCTAATATCCAGCTTTCTTCGAGCGCCTTGCTGTTGCTAGCAACAAAACACTTCCTCAACATGCTCGCAACAGGTATGTGAGGAAGGACTATCCTCAGAAATTTCTTCAGCTCCTCTGTGCGAAATGACAGCCGATACACAAAAGCTTCCTTCACCGACCTGTCATTATTGGTGCTCTTTACCTGTCCGACATGTGCATGAACCTTCCATTCATCCTCCAGATATCGAGATATAAGAATAACTCTGTCCTCGGAAAAAGGATCTGTGCGCAACTCACCCTTACGTCCACCAGCTACTAATGAGCCCGCATCGCACCACCAGACGGCTAGGGACTGGGGCGTCAAATGGCTTAACCATCTCTTACGTAGAATCAATTCCTCTCTACTATGTGTGACCTGATATATTTTCGTCAATGAATCCACAGCTCGACTTTGAAACAGAAATTTATTACTAGCACCTAAATGCACAGAATTCATGGCCGAGATCTCCTTCAGCGAAGCAGCTTTCCACTTGAAGTACTCTTCATCCACTTTACTGATACGAAAAAAAAACCTACAGTCGTTCTCACCTGGTCCAAATGTAAAGTAACACATGTTCATACATTCAAAACCACCTATCTAACAGAACATAGCTTCCAATAGAACAGCAGGAGCAGTAAAAGCTTCACAAAATACCCGAAAATAAGCACGGTCCCTGTCCAGGAAACAAACATAAAATACAATGTTCATTGAAATCAGAACAATACAACCAACGTCAATAGCACCCACCTTTGACAATCTGAAGAGTACTGTCTCCGAGTAAGGAGCCTAAGATCACAGACTTCGTCGAATCCTGCAATCCTGTCTGATTCAACGACTTGAAAGCTAAATTTGGACCATGTCGGACTTTCGATCCCAAGCCCGATCTCTCATCGTTTCCCTCCACCCCAAGGCTCCTCTCCACCTTCGGACTACTTCGAGAAAACTTAGACGCAATCCTAAACAGGGACGACGTCGCCACAAACCATCGAACACCTACACCTAATTCTAACTTGCTCCGCTCTAACGCAAAAAATCCTTCAGCGAAACTCTCCGAACATCCCCTACCGTATTGAAACCGCTCCCGGTCGCTGCACTCCATTCCAGCATTGAAAACGCCGCGCCATCCACAGGAAAGCCTCACAACCGACGGAAGTTTCCGCGAAGAAAAAAATTCCAGTGCAGCTATCATGGCGAGCACAAAAATACCGAAAAGAATGGGATAAATCCACGCACTAATGCTGCAAAATGCGACGAAAACAAGTCAATTAGCACACAATCGAGCTCGGCCACCATCACGACGGCTCAGGGTTTTAGCTCTGCAACTGCTCGAGGAAGAAGAAGAAGAATGAAGAATGCTCAAAGGGATGGGTGGATGAATGCATATCGGTAGATGTAATTTATACATCATTCATCTTCGGGTTGCGCGGTCACAGGGTCCACACCCAAATGCAATGAGAAGCGAGTGCAATTGGCTGCGAGGTTGCGGAGACCGACCCATTGACGTCATGGAAGAAGGGGGGCGTGAAAGCGCGGAATGGGAGCCGGAAACCGTGCCTTCGCTGAGTCCCTTCGCTTTGCTTTGCTTCAGGGCTTCTCAAAACTCTCGCGATACCTGTGTTTTTTTTTATATCAGATCTTAAGCTCTGCTTTCGATTCTGTTCTTCTGGTACGCAGTCGATTTTTCATCTTTTGTTATCACTCTCCCTGTTTTTTTTCTTCGCTTTTTTTAGTGCACATTGTGAATAGTTTGGTGCTGGTTTTATGTTTCAGGGTTAGAGTGGGTATTGGATTGAAGTTTCAGATTATTGGAGGTTTCTTTGTGGAGGAAGAGAGGAGATTTGCGATGGCGAAGGGTTCGCAAAGCCAGGCGTCGACGACTGCGTCGTCGGCTAGGGGCACTGCTACGGGTGGAGCGTTGCCCAGATCGAGCTCTTCTGGAGCTCCTCCTAAGGGAACAGGAGGTTCGGGGTTGAGGAGGAGGCGGACCACGTCAACTGGTAGCGGTGGGGGAAGTGGCTCATACAGGAGTGGGAACAGTAATATGTTGCGTTTCTATACCGATGACGCCCCTGGTTTGAAAATCACTCCTACTGTTGTGCTTGTTATGAGCCTGTGCTTCATTGGCTTTGTGACCTGTCTTCATGTGATCGGGAAGTTGTACAACTACCGATCAAAGGCCTAAGGTTTGATCGTATTGTTTCTGAGATAGTCGTTGGGTCCAATAGGTTTTTTCGTCAGACTTTGATAGTTCAGATAGAGTTAGTCCCCCGTTCAGGCCTTGGTTTTTTAGTTTTTTCCAGGGGAGATCCACATGCACGGCATTCAGGGCCCAACAGATGCCAAATTGGAGCCTGCAGGTCTGTGATGCAATGCCGTAAAGAGTATTTGAACATACGGTGTTGGAAACGGAACGCCAGGAGATACTGGGTAGAAATCTCTTAGCCTGTTGGATACTTGACATGACTAAAGCGGTGTTGAAGGCAACTTCAATCATCAAGGCGTCAATGTTGGCTCTGTGCAATTCTGAATTTTAGGATTATTGTTCTCATTTCATTGTGTTTTTGATGAATGGGTTTTTTTGGAGTTATTCCTCTTCGTGACTCTCGTGGAGGGGGACTAGCGTGCAGGTCAGTCACGAAGGAATGTACATAAACCTCAGCTAACGAATGTTCGCCTTTTTTCAGAAGTAAACGATCGTTTTCGATGTAGTTTTGATGATGTTCATACAAACTCTCTTGACAACAGTGCTTATATCTTTTGAGGGGCCAAATATGAATTGGTCTAGTGCTTTGTCACCTTGAAATGAGAGGGCAATGAAGTCGGATGTGTCGCTAGTTAGTGCGTGAAGGAGCGAATCCTTGTGTCAGAGATTCATGTATTGAGCAGACTTCTACGATCACTTCGTCGTGAAATGTGGAATTACAGGACCTGTACATTGAAGAAATTTAGTACACTATTAAAGGTGCGGATTTCAAACTAAAATGAGTAGGGTGGTATGGAGCTATTGTTCTGTGACGAGCCATACGTGATTGGGATGTAATGACAGAAAATAAGGCCTCAAAAAGATTCTTGGATCAAACAAATTACAGGAGCTGTCACTGCGATTAGATACCCATGTGTACATTCGTTTAATTATGGTTGTATTTTTGTAATAGCGCTCAAATATGATCGAAAGCTACTGCCAAACTGCATAATTTTTTCTTTCGTAATTTGAGACAGAAAGTGTGTTCGACACGAAGACTTGTCTCTTGCGTTACAATTCGCATGATATTATTAGACTTGGTTTCCACTTTCTGGTCTGTTCAAATATATTCATCAAATGAAGTTATTCTTCAATTTAACTTTCCTGTAGTTTGTTCAATGAATCGAAATAGCTAAGTATCTGAAAGAGTCTTTGCATTTCGTTGTAGTTTTTTTTAATGGGTTACAAGAATTGGTAGCGCACACTTCGAAGAAAAAAGTGGATTTTGAATTATTATTATTCAATATATATTAATACTTCACTTCGAAATATTCACAAACTTCAAATAATCAAATAAAACACGAAAAGCTATATACTTACTTTTCAATAGTTTTATTCTGTGATGTTCTATTCAGGGATTGTGTGCACCATCAAAAATCGCCTACAACCTCAATATTTCATTTAATGTTATTAACAAACTCTGAAAAAAAAACTGCACAAATAGACATCACAAGCTCAGATCTATTACTATAAACTATCGACTCCAAGTATAAAGTATGCAATTGAATTGACAACAATTAGAGGAGTCAGAAGCAAAGCAACAAACGAATGCACCATTAGAATAAAATTGATAATTTCAATTGTCAATTTTGTTACAAACAACAAACAACATAGTCTTCCATGGAGAACAATAATAATAATAATAATAATCATAGATTTATTTCATAAAATATAATCATAATGGAGATAATAACATAACAAAAACATTGTAGACAATCTCATGACTTATGGATTTTAATGTGGTGTTTAGAAGATTTAAAGCAATTAGTCTTGATGCAGTTAAAGAACTTGAGAATTTTATAACCTTGACCATTTATATCAAAAACATATTTACTTATTCAACATTTAAAATAAATAGGAACTTTGAAATTATATGCATATAATAATACTACAACATTTAGAGAATACTTTTAACAAAATTGTTGCCAAAAGTTATCTCAACAATTTGTAGTTAATGTGTAAACACTAATTAGAAATTTGGAAGTATACATAAATATATTTCAATTCTATTAAAAATTAGAAACTAAAAAGACATGTTGCCAAAGTCTTACAAATTTTAATTTTAATTGTGTGAAGATTTATACTAGCACTTTATCTAATAATAATGTATTAGATAAAAATATATCTAATATAAAAACTTTTATTCACAAAATTCCAAAAATAATAATTAAATGGACACCAATGTATTTGGATAACCCAACAATTTTAGAAAAATAGATATGTTGTATTTCCTTGATTTTATCTACAATTGACCATGTTATCCATCATTAATTAAATATTAGATACATATACAACTAATCTAACAACAATAAAAAAAACAAAGAAAACAAAAAAAACTCAACCAATGTCTTAAAAGCTTTAAATATTTGATGTGGATTTATGAAGTGTTGTATGTATGTATGTATGAATAGAAAGTTTAAAATAATAAATTATAACTATTTTACGAGTTTTTGGAAATACTCAATATAAATCACAATAACTGTCAAAGCTCTGAACAAATTTTTAAGTTCTCTAAAAGTATAATAAACAATAAAAGTGATACTTAAACAACCATCTCTAGAAGAAGGACAATAAATCTATATAGGATGTACACAGTCATAAATAATTAGATTTTAACTTGTTTTGAAAGTTCTTAAATACTTATACAATTTCTTTTAATAATATGAATAAAGTAACTTATCTTGCATAAAAAATACACTACTATTACATTACTTATTATATTATTTTTAAATTGAATAAAAATATTGATTATATGAACATATCTTGATTCAAAACTATTTGTGCTTAAAGTTGTAAATCAATTATATAATTATAACTAAATCTTATCTGTAGACATTGAAGTATTGACATTGCATGTATTATTATGCACAAGTAATATCAATATTTCACATTTATACCTTCAATGTTAATACTATTATATTACTATATATACATACATACAGAGAGAGAGAGAGAGAGAGAGAGAGAGTGTGTGTGTTGCTAACACTACCACAACATATTCTTATTAATTTCTCAATTATTTAATAATTAATTAATTATTGATATAATTTGAAGAAATGAAAAAGAACTGGAAATATCATCAAACAATTTTGGAATAAAAAAATGAAATAAATATGCGGATTATCAAAAATCGTGGCATTGTTAGCAGTACCCTATATATGTGTGTCTACACATGTATTTAATATTTTCGGATATGCTCACAAACATGTAATCACAAACATATACAATAAAGAAAAAATGTTTTTAGGTGAGAAACTTGTGGAAATTTTGAATGTTACAAAAAAGATCACATAATGAAAAAAATAGATGAAAACTTCAATCTAAAACTCGAGCAAGCCAGATGTTCTTTCAAGCCAGTTCTGGCGTCGTTTGATTCTAAACAAAAGAAGACATAATTCTGAACAGATTTCAGGCATGCAATAAAAATGGCCACAGCGAAAATCAAAATTAATGCATGGTCTACAAAAGGTTTATCTTATCATATCTAAACAACCGTAATTGTAAGTGTAGACAAAGATTTATGAATCTTTCAAGAACACTGGAGACAAAATGGAAGATGGCAATTTGTAACGGCAGTGAACTCACCCATTCAAATTATAATTTTCTTCTAGTGTATATTCTAATTAGAATTATAGACTTAATTCTCATATGTAGATATGAAATGTGACAGAACGGCTCATAAGCTATATCTTCAGTGAGAACACTTATCTTTGTGCACGTCGGCTTTCTGTACACCCAACTTGTGTTCGCCCGTTACATTTTGCATCACAAACTAGTGTTCATTCAGGCCTGAATCGGTTGGGCCACAGTAATTTTCCAAGGTCGCGATTGTGCTATTTCTCATGTTTACGATCATATCTTAGAACTTCTTGAAATCTGAAGAGTACTTTCAAACAGCATAATTGAAAAACCACAAAAACTTTACACCCCAGTATGCAGTGCTTTCAATTCTCGTTCGCGCTTTCTCCGTAACAACTTCAGAACATAAGCCAAATTGTGGCCAACCTTGTGCCTGCCTTCTCAGTACAAGCCACGCTTAAGGGCTGAACTGAGAAATTGTAGGAATATAAATAGACATGGAATGGGACAGTGGTAGTTCATATTTCATAAAATACAAAATGCTGAGAGCCGTTGGCTAAGCCAAACTCACTCGCTCAGACCCTTGTACCATGGAGATCTGAGACACAATAATTAAGATCTTCTCGAGACTGCGTCCGTCGACTCTGCAAATAGTACCCTTTGTGCTGCAGTTTTCCAGTTGATTTCTGATGACGGTCAGGTGCAGAAATTCCAATCCCAGTCATCAACTCTTGACCCTCCCGATCGCTAACGGAGCCATTAGATGTCATGGAACCAAAAACAGGATTGTGAAGTCCATGTGCATCTGGAATCGGACTGTGTGGCATCTTAATACCACCATCATCTCCTGCATGATACAACAGCAGAAAGGTTAAGTTTCCGGTTATTAAAAGATCAATGCTCACATGTATGGTAAATACAATACATATGTAGATATCAGCACAAGTAAGCAATCAGCTGAGCAGGTGTGGAAAAGGCAACAGGCTAAAAAGGTCAAGGAACAAATCTAGCTCACCACGTCCAAAACCATTTGTCGTGAGAATGCCTAGACGGCCAGGGAATCTCAATGGGAGTTGTATCCAGTGAGGTCCACCCGTGGCAGATGTCAGGGAATTGAAAAGCGGTAAATACGAATGGGTTCGACGTCGTGGCCACAGTAACCAGAGCAGATAGCAGGTAGTCATCCCAAGAATGAGTAACAACAACAGAAGCAGTGCACCATAGAAAGCAATCCGAGAGTTTGAGAACTTCGCCAGAACTATCTTTTCTGATTGTGACTGAACAGGGATCAAAGCACCCGCTTCCCATAAGGCGGCCCCAAGTGTCCATGCAAAATCTCCCGAACCGATTGTTACTTGATCGTCTCGAAGGTGTAGACCTTGTCTCAGCAAAGCAGCAACATAAGGGGCTCGGAAGCAATACTGGTCAATACTGGGCTGCGGACTCACTTTCGCCTGAGCTTCTTTCCAATTCAGTTCACAGAACTTCTGCCCTTTCTTCAGTAATCTTCCGAGCGGAGCGTTACCTTTCAGTCCAAAAAATTTGTACACGACAAAAAATCCAGCAAGCCCATAGAATTTACCCTGAGAGGATGGCTGATATTTCCCGAGAGCACAAGATGGACAATCATCCGCATGCGAGCTATTGACGACCTTTTCCACAAGCGCCTGACATTCTTTCCACTTTGAACCTCCTATTAATTCCACCTGCGAAACTCGATCTCCATCATTTTCGCTTCCAAATGCCAAAGGCGGTAACATACAATGCGTAGAGCACACGTAGGGCCTCCTATAACCTTTGTGCATACAGGGATGCTCCAGTTCCACGAGTCCATTTCTAGCCGCCACAACTGCACTAGATCCAGAATTTTGTGACCTCAGTAGCTGTGCTACCGACTTCTCAAATGCATCGTTCAGGCCATATCCCGCATGAGAAACTGCATAGAGATTGTGTTCTGTACTTCCAACACTGACATTCACACCGTATTTTTGAGAGACTTCTTCTGGCTCAAAAGTTACTTGAAACGAGGAACCCCCAAGATCCAATGTACCTACATTTAGCAACTTTGGCGAGTGACCAAGTAGACCAAGGTTGTAATTGAGAGCTATCCAACCGTAATAAGCTTCCTCTACACCACTAATGACTTTAACCCACTTGCGTTGGCACATAAACGGAGATTTCTGAAGAACCAAAAATGCGTCATCAAGAATAGATTCACTCTGCATCCGAGGCAACCTTCGTAGCCCTGCAGTAGCCAGGAGGAATACTCTTGTTGATCCACGAGCATAAGGAGGTATCTGCTTCTCTGCCCATTCTAGTAGAGGCTGTAGAGCGTGCTGTACAGCTGTCACATTATTCAATGTTTTGTCTAGTCCGGGTTCTGTTTCCACACGTTTATAGGCCCGCTGCTGCCCGGGAACTCTGAACCACGGCGCACTGTCATCACGACTGTAAGTCGGTTTGACCATCACAGGAAGAGAGTCTTTTGGTGAGTGTCCCCAAGCATACACATGAACTCGGGTACCTGTACTTCCCCCATCGATCACTATTGCGTATTGAAGTGCATCTGTCTTCCAATATGACTGCCCCAAAAGAAATCCAACATACAACAACAGAACTGCCGCCAAGATTATTCCAATGGCTGTTTTCCCTTGAACCCACCAGTTAGGACCGGATGGCAGACCCCCCCATGCTCCAATGCTAGGTTTCCCGGTCTTGGGCACTCGTGGAGGAAATGAGGAGAGGTTTGGAGGAATCGGCAACGCCCTCGATCCATTGCCAGAAAGTTCAGCAGGAGGAGGATTAAGCTTCACGTATGTCGAAAAGGCTGGAACAGAAACTGAGCTACGCAAACTTACTGCATCCCGACTATACTCCCCAGGGGACACACCTGAAATATCTTTTGGCATAGGACATCTTGGAGGTTGTGAGGAGGATGCAGGTGAGAAGTTGCCACTGTTCCCACCACCCATACCCATAGCAATTTCCAACTCGGATTGTAAGAATTTGAATGATGTTTATCCCATAGCCAGGATAAGCCCATTGCCCGCACAAGTCCAGAACTGCTGCGACAATTTTTCCAGTAGATATGGCCGTCGACTTCAGCAATTTTTTCGTTACGTTTATCAAAAACAAGTATCACACGGCCGCTCGTGGCTTCAGATCGAAAGGAATACCTCGGGAATAGAGAAAGACTGTCCAAGCTGTAACCGGAGATGCCCTTCATGAAGCATGCGTACCAGCCCCACAAACTCTAAAAACCTCGAACACAATTTCTGATTGCAAAAGTACCTTACACCCTACTGCAAATGGCTATCTGGAAACCTATTACGCAACAAAAGATTCAGTCAGTGCTAGCTGCTTGGATCTTGTACGGGGTTTATAGGCAGTGGAATAGGTGGGGTATGTGAACTGTCGATAAGAATGGACCGAACCTCTTGCAGCATAGACGAACTGCATCAAACAGTCGAAGTAAGAAAACTAAATTAAACAAAGATAAACCCTAAGTTAACGAACGAAAATATAATCAATTCCAACATGCAGAGACGTGCACGAAACCTTGCGCTAGATTAATTAAAGTTTCATGGACGCCGCGTTTAATTCTTTATCTACACAATGATGTGTGTTCAGCAAAATGCGCTCCTTCTATTATGAAATTTCGAAGTAGTCAGGAGAAAAATAAAAATAAAAATAAAATAAAAATCCTCAAGACATTAACGCGGAGGATCCAGTATGTTTAACCACTTCTACTTCGAGGTACCTTCGAATTGCGCTATCAAGGTGCGAATCGAGCGCCACAATCACAGATGGCATCTGCTCTAGAAGCTGCAACAAAAGCCATAAAACGACAATAAATGTACAGTGAGCAGTGGGGATATCACGATTGTTTAGTGAAGACGCAATTATCATTAAGGACTTTAGACACCTAGAGGACACAAGTAGTTCTCGTGGATCAAAAATGTCCAACGGGGCCTCCTGCAGTTCCAGAAGCTGTCGAAACCAGAAGTTGGACATGAAATACAAAATGAGGTGCTTTTGAAAAAGAATACTTTTACAAAATGAATAATCTGAGCAAGCACTTACCTCTCCGGTAGTTTTGATGTTTGAAACTTTAAGTGACAGATCCTTCGACAGCTTGGCTACAATCTGGTGTCGCACAAGACGATATTAAATGGAGAGCTGCTGTAATGATTTCAAAACTTCTGACATTGAAAAAATGCTGAAAATCTAATCAAGAGCGTGGAATGTGAACGGATGGAGCTACCACCACAAATTGAAGACTAAAATCGCTGACTTTCCTAGATTAAGCATGTACTACAGAATATAAGGAAACTGTAGGAGGGATGGAGGTTTGTAAATCTGTCAAAGAACTAGTCAGAAACTGATAAAAACCCTCAACCCCAATAGAAAGACAAAAATAATTTGCGATCAAAGGAAGAGAGATTGACATGAAATTTAACAAAGATGCTAAGATGTACCAGAAGTGACTCATAGATGAGAACAATTAGTGAAAAGCTACGTCAGAAAAACGAGATAGAAGAAATCAAGAAAATGTGGATTGTTGCATGCTTACAAAACCAATACTCTCGTTGAGGCAAGGGAAGTCACCATGCAACAATCAGATCAACAGCCGATTTTTAATAAACTCAGAAACACAAAGACAATTGAAGCGCTGTGTTATTCGAGAAAGTAGCGATACACACAATGAATCCTCCAAACAGAGAGCAACTGCTGTGCACCAACTCCCAACGACGCGTAGCTTAATAATTAAGCAACGCGCATTAAACGGAACGTCTCTAACCTCACCACGTTGTTTGTAGAACCGAGACGGGAGGAGGAGATAAAAACAAAAACACAAAAACGAAACGAAAAAAGACACAATAAAGTTTCATTTATTTAAATTGATAAAACACGCACACACGAGGAGTGAAAAATAAATAAATAAATAAATAAATAAGAGAGAGAGAGAGAGAGAGAGAGAGAGAGAGAAGAAAAGAAAAGACAGAGAGGAGGGGGAGGGACAACAAGGAGGGAATAAAAACCTTGCTGCACTCCCTACGATAGGACAGTCCCAGAGATCCCACCCTCACAGCGCACCTCCACACTCCCAAATGACTAGGGTTACCAAGAAAACCAAAGCATCGACCACTCCCAACCAACCAAAAAACTAGAAAAAAAACCCCGAAAACGAACCTCAGTGTGGGCGGAGTTACGTAGCAGCTGCGACAAGTTGGCGGACTGCAGAATGCACGTGGAAATCCTGTCAGTGGCAAGTGCTTTCAGCGCTGTGCTGCCCTGCGTGTTGGCCGGCACTCCAGCCATCATCTACACTCCCAAGAGCTTCAGAATCCCCTTAATCCTCTCACTCCCTCTCTCTCTCTCTCTCTCACTCTGCCGGGCTCTTCAGATCACCAGCGGCTTCGCGCGATTCAATTGAAAGGGGCTGAAATATTATCACGCAACGCAGCAGTCAGCCTCACATCGATCGGCGACGCAGCCCCGTGAAGTACAGCGCGCGAGGGCATGATCCCACAATCACATGCCCGATCCCCCTCCCCTCCGTTCCTCGCCCCGCCTTCTCCCCTTTGCGGACCTCGATTGGGCCCTGGAGCCGCGGGCTCTTCCGGAGCCCTCTAGAATAATACGCACCCTACGTTATCCGTTATGGTTGCGCACCGAGACCGGGTCCAACCATCCCTGCGTCGCTTTCGCTTCTGCAGCTACACACCCCCAATCTCGGGGGCTCCTAAATCCGTCATGTTCTTGCCCGCCTACCGTAAAGTACACTTAGATCCAGGTCGGAAAAGGTGAAAAGGTTGAATTAATACTGCGGTTGTAGGACTTACTTCCCCTATTCCCGAAATTCAATGGCTTGCTGCTATTTTTGAAGTAATTAATGGGGTGGAATTGTTGAGGAAAAGTGTCCGGTTTATAACTTCTTTTTTCTTTAAAACATGCGTCTTCATCAAAAATAGGGACATATCACTAAGAAGTCATAAACCTGAAGTGGCAACTGAGAAAAAGTTGCAAAAAGTTCTCTTTTGAAGAACAAAGCTTCCAAAAAACAACTTGCCTCGTAAAAAGTAAAAACGCGTGACATGTCAGCAACCACGTCATCAACCTACGGTCTATTTTATTACAGTGAGTTACTGTGGATGATGTGGCACCTTGACCGACGTGGAACACAAAGCCTCGTTCAGTGATGTATCGATTTTTGTGGACGTGGAAGGGGGGGTAGGATATTCTCTAACGATTCTTCTCTATGATTGGGGTCCTCGGTTTTTGTAGACCCCGTTGAAGACCTGGACTGAGATCCCACCACAGGGGAAGTTTCTGTGCAGGACTCGTCGTCTAACGTGCCCAGTCAGCATCTCAACGACCAATCGTATCCTTCGGGGAGCCATGGGTGGTTTCCTGCCACCAACTGACGTGTCAGTAGAACCCGATTTTAGCTGACAAGTTATAGAGTGACGTGTGAAATACAACCTGGCTCTATTATTTCAACTAATTACTTTAAATAAATGCAGTAATTTTATATTAATATGTGTATTCTTACTGAGTTGAAAGGGGTACTCATTATTATGGAATGTATTGGGATGAGTCATCTAATACTATATAAGAATGGTTTGATAAAGTTTTTGAGGCTTGGCAAGTTGGACATTGGAATGTTTGGAAATATCTAAAATAAAAGTTAAATGATATGTTTAATAATGTATTAGTTAATATTTAATCAACAAACAATTGAATTATGTTTTAACACAATAGTATTATATTTTTAAAAAAAAATGCTTATAAAAATATATATATTAGATAGAATTAACTTTTAATGTGTAAACTCAAACTACCATCTAACTAAAAAAAATTATAAAATCTTTTTAAATTATGTATACTTTAAAAAATAAAATTTTAGTAAGATATATGTAAATTAAGAACATATTTTACATCTGATACATATACATGTAACACATAGAATTCAGATAATCTGAATTTTTAGAATAATTTTGTAATTTTTGTATATCTACATAGATTTTACAAAGATTCAAAATACAGAGCAATGTATTGTCGTGTAAACAAAGATTGTTACATACAACACATTGGCTACTACAAACTAATCACAAAGTATGTAATTTAAATCAAGTACAAATGTACATTCAATACACTTTCAAGAAAAAGATTAAAGATCTATACTAAAGTAAGTCAAGCTATTTCTCACACCACGAAGGGAGAATCCAAGAGTGCAAGTGTGAAAATAAGAAAAATCTTAGAAATTTACAAAAATGGCTAAATCACCATAGTTAAATAAATCCTTACAACAAGTTCTTTTATTTTCAAAATCATTTATGAGACTTAACTTGATAAGAATGTCAAGTCAAAGATTTTTTTTCCACTTAAGTATTCAAACCTTAGTTGATATAAATAAAGTCAAGTAACGAATAAACTATCAATGGATAAAAAACCACTAATCAAACTAAACTACATACATTTGAAAAAAATTGGCACCTAATGCCATATCACATGACAATTGTTGTAAAAACAAAGATCATCATATACAATACATTGAGTACTACAAATCAATCACAAAGTATGTAATTTAAATCAAATACAAATAGACACCCAACACACTCTCAAGTGCATCCCTTTCTTCATTCCTAGTTGATTAGAAGCCCATCTAAATAAATAAAACCACAAAACATACATTGTTGAAGATGAATGCCACAATGATTTTATTATTAAACTGTACTCTTCCAAACTAGTGTTGTAGCAGCTAGACCACAAAAGTGTGTGACAAATACAATAGAAGAAATCTTCAATCCTTCTCAAGACATGAAGCATAGCTAGAAGACTTCTTAGAATAAAGACAAATTTAATCTTTTAAAGAGAGAGTCAAAAGAGGTGGTGTCAAATATGCCATGTACCACCTATGTTAGCATTAATCACTCAAAAACATGGTAGCAGCCCCTTTCTTCTCATCACATATAAAACAAAGATCAATTGATATAATTACCAATTTAGGATGTATAGAGTCATCAATAGGAAGATGACAAGGAACACAATTCTTTGAATGCTTCCAACACTCTTATCCATCCTTCCTTTTTAATAACAAAATACCACTAGACAATACATTCTTTATATATAGAATTGTATGCCCTATCTTAACATCAAGTATTATAGGTACCTCACGTTACAAATACAGATAATTTTCTTTAAAGAATCTTTGTAACTTACATTGATAAGCTCTACTATAAATGCAAGAATATCAAAAAGTGTTACAATATTAAGTAATAGATAAGTTTTCTATATCCCTAAGCATAGCTTATTTAAAAATTGTGCTTTGTAATTTAAACATTAAATCCAAACATCAAGATCATCTAAGTTTAGAATTAGAGCTAGCTTTTTATATATTAAGCTGCATAAATTTTGTTCTTGTCTATATAATAATTAATAAGAATTATAAGATATCAAAGATGTATGTCTACTGAAGTATTAATCCATTGCAATCCACGACAATATTAAGACTCAACCGCAATAAATGTCATGAAGTAATCCATACTTTTGTAACATATGTTTGATAGTTTAAACAACCCGCTTAAGTATTCCATGTGCCTTTAGATGACTTCTAAATGTGAAACAATGATCTAACAAAGCTTTAATACATAAAGCTTCAAACATCCTAAGAAACTCTCTTCTTTGATCTATTAAGACCTCAACAAGTACTTCAAAACAAACCAAAACTCAATCAAGAAAGCCATAGTTGCCAATTTTGAAGAGTTTTGTGATAAAGCCACAAGTTCAATCCACTTGCTAAAATGCTCTACTATCACCAATATGTATTTAGTTCCATGTGAAGTAACAACAAGTAGTCTAGCATAGTCCAAAAATCAATGATAACACAAACTCATAATAGGTAACGGCATCAACTGAGAAAATAAGGTGTTAAAGCTTAATCTAACTCGATCACAGACTTCACACCAAGAAACTTATGTAATATTAAGAATATAAACCTCAAACAATTAAAATATGAATAAATTCTTATGTCTCTTGAAAAGACTAAGAAATCACTTAAAGATGATATAGTCTTAAATTAGAATGGCTATTACCAAAGACAAAAAATCTTAGAAAGTCTTGAGACAAGTCTAAGGACTAAAAAGACATTATCATGGTATAAAATGGCCAATAGGTGAAAGGATGAAGAAAATATCATAATTTTGATGATCTTATTTCAAATATATTGTAATAAATTAACTTGAAAAAATAGATAATAGTCAAGGAGTAGAAAAATTAAAGGTGATAATACTACCTTTTTGTAAAATAGGCTTCTATCTACTTTGTAGGACCACAAATAGAACAAAATAAGGTAGATTAGGAAAATAAATAATATAAGCACCTTTGAAAAGAAATTAAGAATAGTTTCCAGTAAAAATTATCTAGAAAAATTAGATATTGATACCCAGAGAGGGCTGGTTATGAACTAGGATCAAAATCAGACCCTGAGGAACAAAACTAAGCTCCGACGACAATTTTGAGGTTCTCTTGGAAATTGGAGAGTAAGGTCTAAGAGTTGACTTAATAGATTTTTTTTAAGTATTAATTTGATGTGATTTGAGTGTGTATTGACTTTGCAAGAGCTTTGAAAAGTCGAGATTTGTTTTGGATGACTCTAGATTTGTGAAATAAAATGGGTGATAAATTTTAGAGAATTTCATAAGTTTGAAAATAGATCTGTTAGTAAATTCTTCAAGATTTGTGGATATATATATGTGCAATATATGCTATGAGTTTTAACTTGATCAAAGGATTGGATCAAGGATTATTGAGGTTTAAGTAGGTTGAGATCTTGAGAAGTAGAATTTTAGGTCTAGTGAGGATTTCTAAGATTTCTTGTAATCTATCAATTGAATTGGAGTAATAATTATGTGTATAGGTAATACACTTATTTTTCTATGTATGTGAGGAATTTGAAATAAATCAAATAGTTTAATAAAGAGATACTGATGCTGGAAATTCAACATTTACATTGAAGAAAGAGGCTGACCAACATCCAAGAAAATATTAGGTTTGATCTTCTTTTTGGTGAATTTGATCTTCTTCAAAAAATTTGTACTTGTAGTCAACTTAATTGTAAAGAGGTGAGAAAAATTTGAGTTAAAATCAATAGATCATTCATTAATTATTGAGGTATAAATGTGTTGTAGGAATTATTTGGATTATTTAGGGTTTGATTTAGATATGTTTAAGAATTGATTAGATTTTAGTTAAGGTTTATTTAGGTTTGTTTAGAATTTGGTTAAGATTTGCTAGGATTTGACTAGGAGTTGGTTAGGATTTGTTTAGGGTTTGGTTAGGATTTGCTAGGATTTGACTAGGATTTGGTTAAAATTTATTTAAGATTTGATTAGGATTTGGTTAGGATTTGATTAGGATTTGGTTAAGATTTGACTAAGATTTGGTTATGATTTGATTAGTATTTGATTAGGGTTTGACTAGGATTTATTTAATATTTAGTTAGGATTTTCCTAGGATTTAATTAAAGTTTTTATTTAACCAAC